TAATTAAATGATTCAAGAAGGCTAATAATGTTAGTTATCATTTGATTAGAAAACTAAATGTTATTCTTTAGACAGATTAATCAATAAACTAATTAAGAAAAATATAAGCAGCTATATATACCAATACTCAAATAAATATGAATATGAAGTCATAGTTTAATATTTATTCTTATAAGTAGCTTTAAATATGATGTTACAAATATAATAAGAAAATATAAAAAATTTAATAAATGAACGCAAAAGAAAAAATGAACAATGTTGACCATACCTCCAAGTTCCTTCTTCCTACCTTTGTTTTGCAAACCATAAATAAATTGCACAATTTTTTTTGGTTCCATAGAATTAAAAATGCCTATGTGTAATTATAGACCATCCAAAATATTCACAAGACTTTTATTTATCCTCTCAAGGAAAACAAAATCTCTTTTCATGTCGAAGCTTGTAAAGACTCATTGATTTCTCTCCTCAATGTAAAGTATGGTGTTCTTTGGATTTGACTTGATCTTCTCCTCCATGACAACTTCTTATGTATACTTCTTTCTCTTCTTTTCAATCTCTTGTTTTTAAGATAAATCAACCCAAGAAATATGATCATATATTTCAAGTGAGCCCATCTAAGGTAAAGATAAATTTCATAAAAAAAAAACTCATAAATTAGGCATTTCATAAACATGAATAATATATATAAAAGGATAATGACTGAGTACCTAATGAAACCAAAGAATAGTAGTTTAATGACTTTTAAAAATGTTTAAAGTTTTAAGCACATTCTTAGTGGAAAAAAGAAAAATATGACATAAGCATAACTAAAATAATTAACCAATACATGAAAACCTATTACACAATTTAAATAGATCATAGAATAATGGTAAGCTCAATCGACTGCAACAAAAGTGTGAAAAAACATCATAAAGAAAGTAATTTGGCCTACACTAATAATAAAACAACTATAACATTAAAGCATGTTAAGAAAATATGATAGTATGTGAAGGTACATGCTATATTATGATAAGAATGGGAAAAGGTACATACTACAAGCATCTTCCCATTGGATAAGTTGTGATAGAACAAAATTTAATCATAATTCATTATGATAAGTTGTGTTTTATTATTAATAGAATAACAACCTCAATGAAAGTTGAAAAAATAAAGTATGCCTCAACCAAAGCTAAATTTTAATAATAAACTAAATTTATTGAAGATCATATGAGAACCTAATCACCTTTACCTAAATAAATAAATATCACAACACTTTTTTGTCAAAATTATTTCCTAGGGTTTAGGATGTCACAATAATAAACCCGACCAACCTCGCGTGTACGACTCACTCGTGCCCGACGCCTCCACTGCCTTGGATGAAGGTTGATGGAAATGACGTCAACAACGTACAACATCGTACTATACCCTTCTTAGTCATTTTCCCCTTCATAGATCCATTGTGTTGAGGTCATGCCTAGTGTGTTTCTCCCTGATGGTTCTGCTAGTTTTTTCCCTTAATTGTTTGCCTATCGCCATTTCTTCCTATGCTCCATCACTTATGCCTCAGGGAAGTGCCTTTTACATTTTTTCCTTTTGGTTGTTTTCTTTAATTTGCTATGTTCTACTTTCTGGTTTTCAGCGTCGATTTTGTTGATAGTGGCCAACTACCTTATAGATCTTGGATTTTTGAATGGGAAGGACTCTTCTTGTTCCTTTCATGATGCTTTAGTTGGTGATTCATCTTCTTCAAATTTTCTTGACCTAAAAATCACTTCTCACCATCATTATGGATTTCAGAGGACTTATAGTACCACTTCGTGTGACTCTCGGCGTCAGTAGCTTGTGCTGTTTGAGTTAGATGTCACCAAACACTTCCCTGATCGAGTGTGGGTCGACCCAAAAAATCTGGGTTATGTTCAGATAGTGGTTATGGAAGAATTTTCTTCATATTGTTCTCACTATAAATTGCTTGGTCACTCAAAAATGGAATGTGGCAAGTTAAACCCCAATATCTCTGATCTTCCTTCTACTAATCCTCTATCGGGTAATGTGGGTGTTATGTCTTCTACTTATGAGCCTACTATTAGACATGTCAATGATTGTGTGGATTTGGCTTTGCAAAATGATGCTAATGTTGTTGGTGAGAACTAGTCCCTGGGATTCATCCTGTAACTATTTTGATTGTTGAGAATATTGCTATTATTTCTTCTAATTTGGTTGGAATGTCTTCTCCTACTCCTAATATGATTAATGATGGAAATTGTTATGGTTCTTCTGCCCATGAGGCTAGTGCGGATATAATTATGGGGGTTGATAATAATATTCCTTTAGTGGCTGTTGATGGTGTTAAATCTATTGTTTCTTTTATTATTGTTCATAAAGGTTTTAACCCTGAAACATGTGTTGAGAGTACGTACCTGGTGAATTTGGGTTTATGTAATGTTAACCAGGTGGTTGATGTTGGATTAGATCTATCTCCTCTTGCTTCTTCTACCGTTGTTGAGAAGGTTTCATTGGATTTTGATAACATTTTGTCCCATAATAGCTTGATGGAAACCTCTTGTGGTGTGGTTGTTATCTCTACTGGAGAGGCTTCTTTGGGAGCGGTTTTGTCCCCTAATGTTTTGGTTGCGAATGAAGGTTTGTCTTTGATTGATATTCTGGTTTCTTTTATATCTAATGATTCCTTAAAAGCTCAACTTGAGTTAAAAATGAAGGAGTCTTGTGTGGCTCAATGTGATTGTCTTGATGATCGAGTTTGTTTGTTTCCCTTGTGATGGTGTTGTGGAGGAGTTTGGTGGGTCTGAAGAGGAATTTTAGGCAAGGTATAGTTTTATGTGGGTCGCATAATTGACAAGGCCTCTTTTTTTGGGAGTAGTAAGCATGGTATGCGGAAATCTAAGAAGAAGTAATTCTTTTTTGGCTATGTTTGTTTGGTGGCTTTCTGATTTATGGTTGGGCTGTGGATTGTGGGTTTTCTCGGCTTTGCTGTCTCTGTTGGGTAGGTTATGGCTCTTTCTTTATTTTTCTTTGTTGTTTCTTCCTTGCAGGGTGTCATCTCAAAGGATCTCTTCTAGTCTTGGCTATGATTGCTTGCACTTAGCCTCTCTTGGGTGGATTGATCCTAGCATTGGTTGAAGTCTTGTTGGATCTTTTCTGTTGTTTGCACTAGTTGCTTCATGTTGGCCGTTCATGGGTGGCTCTCTTTATGATCCTGGCTTTTATTTTTAGTCTTTTCTTTTTATTTAATTGTGTATTTAAACTAAATCTAAGGCTAAATGATGTTTTCTAGTGGGCTTTGAATTCTCTAAGGACTTGTATCATTGCTTTTATTGAACGCGTAAGCCCCTTCAGTAGGTTTTAACCAAAAAAAAAATCACATCACTTTTATTGCAAAGTTACTACATAATGGTTTGTCAACTTAGAAGATGTCATTGCCTTGATGTGTTAAAAAGAGTCAAGAGACCTATTCCATGAAACTTCCTTACAAGACAAGGATGTAGGGATTTTTAGTATAGTATTCCCTTAGATCCAATTAGAATTAGTGCAAGGAACTTGGTCAATCTTGATTCTTAGTTATAGCTCGAGAAATTCATTTTAAACATCCCATATTCCTATGAGTACGAGCTTTAACATTTCAAGAGATGTGTTTTTTGCATTATGGTTAGTCATCGTATATGTCTTATATAACTGCAAATCTGGAAATGTATATATATATATATATATATATGAAATTCATATGTTTAGATTTAATGAATTCTTAATTTACTTAAATAAAAAGCTGAACGGATGCATGTGAGTAAAAAATAAGCATTAAAAATTGATCATATGAATGAATGAATGAATAAATTTATTAGTAAAAAAATTTACCGTAATGATAATAGTAATGAAAACCTAGAGTTATTCTTGTGAAATAATAGAAACATATATTAACTCTGAGCATTAAACCTTTAACAACCAACTTCACTAATTCCATTAGAACCCTAAAGAAGAAACTAAGAATCTAAATTTTCAAATTTTTTATAATGGCCCTGGTTTTTCTGAAATTTTGTTTCTAAAATCGTTGATTTTAATGCTTGCTCTGAAATACCTAGATTTGCTCTGAAATTATGTTAATAATTGATATTGGGTTTCTGAAATTTGAGCTACATTGTGACAAAACCAGATGCTTATAAAAAATCATAAACAACTTATTTATTATTTTTAAATAAAAAATAATATTTATTATGTCATTAGATTCAACCCTAATTCAACCAATCGAATCTTAAACCTGTCCTTCTGATTCATTATCTGATCAGATTTTTATATAACCTTGATATTTTGTGGGTCAATTCTGAGTGTTTCTCCTATTAAAAAGTTTCAAATGATTTTGATGTTTAATTGTAACATGTTTTTAAAAGGTGAATTTACACTGTAGTTGCGACAAAAAAAATAAAAGGAGTTTACAAAAAATAATACATTTTTTTAAATAGCATGTAAAATTATGCAGGTTGATATATCAAAAATAATCTTAGGCTTCGTTTGGAACAATTTACTTATTACTTCCTAAAATAATTTTTTATTAAAAAAAAAATCTATTTAAAAAATAACAAGAAAATCATCCCAAACGTTTTTATGAACCGATTGGCTCCCTGTATTTTATAAACATTCTGGTATAAAAAAAAATTCTAAAATGTCTAAGATCCTTTCTCACTTACTTCTCCCTCGCAGTTTCAAGAGAAATTATTCTATGCGATCACCCAACCGTCCGGAGGCGAATCAGGATGCGCCACATCACCTGATAAACAGTAAGATATAGCACCGGCATACAGCAAAAAACTAACGTTGTGCGTCTTGATTCATCTCCGGACTATATCCGGTGGTGACCGCACAGAATAATTTCTCCAGTTTCAGCATCTAATCTCTGCTCAGACAGTCTATGAGCTGCTTCCTTGCTAAAAATGTAACTACAATGGCTTATCCTTCAATTCCTACTATTCTATCAAGATTATGAGACCTTCAGACCATAAAGACAATTGATATCTCAGCTATTTTTATCTCCAAGATTTAATTTCTACTTGATGATGAATACATATTAGAAACTTAAGAAGAAAAATCTAAAGATAAAGAACAACCTGATGCCATTAGCTATAGCAGAAACTTACAATGACGAGATTACTCAAAGCACATGCAAATTGGTCACTTTAATTGGTTGGATGTCAGTTTCCGCCAAAAAAAGTTACAAGCATAGCAAGCGCAAGAGGATGATCATTTCCAGGATACAAAGTAAGCCGAAACTTATTTCTTGAATAGATAAATTTCTTAAGTTTGTACAAGGGATTTGCCTGCAGAAACAAGACGGTTAAATTATGATGATGATGATGATGATTCATAAAAGATAGAAATTCTTTTTTTTTCTTTTTTTCATAAAAGAAGAGAGTATTATTACCTGAGCAACAATCGAATCTCCCATGTATATTGTGCATGACCGTTGGAACGGGCTTCCTTTCAAAATAAATTTCTGTTTCTCATTTCTCAGATTCTCAGATGACACTAATACTTCTAATTCTGTTTTAAATGTAGAGTAGGCTAATTTCTGCACTGTGAACAGCAAATCATTGGGTTCCCAGCTATATCCTTTGAAGCCTTGCCATCCCTCCTAAAAAAGAAGGAAAGTTATTTGAAAATCGAAATATGGACATCATAGCAGAATGAACAGTAAAGCTAAGTTGGGAAATTCATGAAACAATACAATTAAAATGCTGCAGTTCTCCATAATATGATATGAGCATGAAACTTTCTTTTTTACAAACATAATTTGACTCAAGACGATGTGAAAACATCATAAGTAATGGAAGAAACAACTATATACAGTAGAAAATAAGGTGGATCAAATGTAGCTGTAAGAGCCTCAAATTTTGAAGTGGAAAATCATGTGAAGAAGATTATTGGTTTGGAAATATAAAGGAAAAGAGATCAAATTCTAGAGTAGAATATCTTGAGGATGAATATGAAGAGACAAAGGAAGAGGGATCAAATTCTAGAGTATACATCATGAGGCTGAAATTGATGAATTTGAAGAGAGTGAGGAAAAGATAAAGGTGTACAAATCTAATAATGGAGAAAAGAGAACAGATGATCATGAAGCAAGAATAGGTGGCAATGAATTTTAGATTATTTCTTAGGCAAGATGTATTACAAACTTAAATAGTTTAATTATTTTAACATAGCTAAACAAAATATTTTGGGTAATTTGTGTTAAGCCCATGAGCCCAATTATAAATTGATTTATAATAGGCTTGATAATTATTTGATGATGACGTACATTTATTAGTGTTATATATTAATTTGATAAACTTTTAACAATTTTATTTATTAACTAGTTAACCATGAAGATGATACACCAACCCTCAGAGAAACTTGAAGCGCGTGCAACTTCGAGAAATATTTCAAATGATAAATTCATCAAGACTAAAGGATGAGAAGATATTTCAAGCCTGTGTGCTTACTTTAGGTTGTATAGTTGATGCTTGCCAATTTAATTGATTAAAGTTAAGATAGATTGGTCCTTAAGCTCAAGTAGGCTTAAACTAATCTGAATTAACTAAAAACCTATTTTTTATAATTAAACAAACTAAAAATATATTATATAGTATGCATATAAGCTTAAAAAATATCTACACATAAAACATGCATTATTGTGGTTATTCCTGGTTACTGTGGGATCAAGTCACGCATCATAATATATGGTACAAAAGCAATGACTTACAATTTACCACAAAATTTATAAAGATTTGTTTAATTTATATGTGAAATTTTAAAATCAGTGAGTGTTGCAGAGATGAGGATGCTCAGGTAGATGAGTTGCTTTACTCTTAGAGACGGGATATGAAATGAACATATACGTGATAAGGTTGGAGTATCTCCAGTGGCAGATAAGATTAGAGAGAGTCACCTTAGATGGTTTGGTCACATTAAACGGTGGTCTTCCGATGACCCGGTTAGGAGAGTAGATGTATTAAATTTAACATATGTTAAGAAAGATAGAGATAGACCTAAAATGACTTGATTAGAAAATATTAGAAATGACATTTCTTTATTATATCTAAATGTGAATTTGACTCTTAACCGGATACAATGGAGAAAAATGATTCATGTAGCTGACCCCACGTAGTGCGATAAAGGTTAAATGTTGTTGTTGTAGTATTAATGGATCATAAGTTCTGAGCATTTTGATAGCCATTTTAATTAATGGAAAGAAAATAATAAACTTACTGCATAAGCTTTCTTCATTTTGAAATTTTGAGAAATTTTACGTGCAAAATAGCTTCCTTGTTAAGCATCTGAGATACAAATATTCTTCTTTAAATACATTTTGTTTTATTTGTTTCCAACAATCTTTTTACGAGGGACTTGTGTTTGCCTTGGTATCCATGATTATCTTCGTATTCACTAAACCTATGTTGGTTTTGGTGTGGTTCCCTAACTTAGAACTCAAGGATAGGTCCTCCTAGCCCATAATGATATCAAGGAGTGGTTCCACTTACAAACTTTGTAGAAGAGTAGGGATCCTACAAATGATCTCCATCCATAGTGAAAAAATGAGAGGTAGTTAAATTCCAAAGAGAATGTCTGGGACATTAACATTGACAGTGGGGCCAAATCATGTTTAAAATGGTTTGTGTGCTCTTTCATATTTGACTATTTTTATCTTAATTGTACTTTATATTTGTATTTAAGTTAGAGATTGATGAGCATTAAGAATATTTTCCATTATGGTTGAATAGATCTACCAATATTGGTGCCTAAAACTACATTATTCACATATATAGCTTTCTACCTCTCAACTCTATCATATATACTAGATAAAAGGCCAAAATTATCCCTTAACTATTTATGAAAAATCAAAATGATCTCTAACTATATTAAAGAACTATTTTGGCCACTCAACTCCTTAAAAGTGAACCAAAATACTCTCATCATGTGACTATTTTGGTTCCTCTTTAAAGACATGAGGAAATAAAATAGTCCTTTAATATAGTTGGGGACCATTTTTTATCTTTCATAAAAAGTCAAAGGCCCATTTTGATCATTTTCCCTATATTACTTTGTGTGTACTTGTAGATTGTCAAAAGTATATTATATCTACTATTCTAGTTTGTTGTCATCAGTAGGAAAAGCGCACCAAAATATCTAATAGGAGTGTTCACAAAACAATTCAACCAACCTCCAATCTAGTTGCAACAATTGTTATCAAAGCTATGGAACTCAAGATATTTAGACTGAATGGCATAATATCCTCAAGTACATCCTCATGGCATACATTATTTTTGAATGTTCCTTATACAAGTGACAAGCTATTAGTGCACCATCTTTGTTTGAAACTATATATATTTTGAATTATTAAAATTATAGGATGAAGCTTTCTTTAAAAATATTTTACCTTCTGTATTAAAAAAATATATATTATTTCATATGGTGGAGAATGATTCTTCCCGACCAACAATTTTTGTCAAGAATATTATACGGAAAAGCCTATCAATCGATAAAAATAAGATAAAATAGATTTAACCCAATTGAATGCTAGAGTTATTAGATGTTTCTATTGTGCACTCATGCCAAGAGATTAGTGAGCCAAGTAGATAACATTGAAGATGATGAACCAAGCTCTAAACAAACTTGAACCTCATGTAACTTGGAGACATTTCAAATGAAGTATTATCAAGACTTAATGATGCAAAGGAGATTTCAAGAATGTTTGATTGGTTTAGGTTGCATGGTTGTCAATGTAATTGATTAAATTTGAGAAATATTCATTCCTTGGCTCAAGTAGGCTTGGAACAAATCTAAATTAACTAAAAACGTAATTAATATACCTAAACAAACTTCAAATAAACTTTAAATATATCATGGTTTACAATTGCGCAATAAGAGGTGCGCCTCAACGCAATTTTAAACTTTTAAGCCTCAAAACCTACGAAATGAGAGCTGGCATTGAGGCGCGCCACAAATTCACTGAGCGCGCCTCGCCTTATGTTTTAGAGGCATCCGCCTCTTAAAATTTTTTTTTTTTTTTTAAAAAAAAACCTAACCTAAGTACATGCATTTTGTGGCTTAGTATTGCTAGGTACATGCTCGGTACTGCTCGGTATCACTCGATACAACAATGCTTTGCACCACTAGGTACATGCTCGGTACCGCTAGGTACATGCTCGATACCGCCCGATATCTTTCCATACAAATGACTTAAGAACTTTAAAAACAAGCAGAACTTCAAAATTAGTCTTACAATAAAAATCTGTTCCAAGGGCAGCGCAGAAACCTCCGCAAGGGCGCTGCCCCTTGACCCCGCGACCTGACTAGGCAACGCCCCCTTGGATCCCTGACTACCCGACATATTATCGTATTCATCATCTTTAGTAATAGTTGTTAGTGTTAGTCTGCTTCTTCATGAGTGCATGCATTGTATATATATATTTTTTAATATAGAATAAGTGAAGCATTATGTTTAAGGTTTTAATATATTGCACTAACATATTCTTCTCATAAAGAATGGTCAGAAGTAAGGATAAAGCTGCATCAGGTTATAAAAAAGATGCAGTATGAAAACATAACACTCAGGTGGATGTAGGAGGAAGTGATAAAACATATATCTATTTAAAATGCAATTACTGTGACAAAGTTTTGAAAGGATATTTTGATTTCACTTCAATCTTTTGTCTTTATATGTTTTATATTTTTACTCATTAGTATATAAAAAATTTATCATTTTATGTTTACGCAATCTTAATACCCGATTACGCAATTTTAAACATTGAAATATATTATATGATCTTGCACGTCAAGCCATCTAGCATGCAATAAAATATATAATGACAAATTTAAGTCATATATGAAATTTTGGGACCCGTTATGACAAAAATTGTCCACTTTATAGAACAGAAGTACATTTAGGCAGCCATTTTAACCAATCATAAAAGACAATTATTGAACTTCATAGTTTCATCATTTAGATGGACCTTACATGGTCAATAGCTTCATCTTTGAGCCTTTGAGATTTGTGTGCCCACCAAATATCTAAGGAGGTTTTCAAGTAGTTCTCTTGCCAAGAGCGAATAAGTTCTCCTAGCCCATAAGGATAAAAAGGAATAGTTCTAACTGCCAATTTGTAGGAAAGTAGGTATTGTATAAAGGCTTCTTCACTTATGGCGGCAATGAAGTGAGTGAATTTTCAAAGAGAGATGTTCGGATGTAGCTGTAGACGGTTGGCATCAAATCATGTCAAAAACAATTTGTGTACTTAAACAACATTTTTTTTTTTTTGTACTTCAACAACTTGCTTTCTTTTATCATACTTGCACTTTATATTTGAGTTTATGTTGGAGATTGACGTGTTGAATGATATTTGTAGTAGATCCATCAATCGTTGTCTTAAATTTATATTTCTAACATATAGCTTTCTAATAGGAAACACTTGGATTTCCAAGTGTTTCTCACCAAAACCAAGTAGGTCCAATGTAAAACGGCTGTCCACAGCAGAAATCAGCCACAAAACAGTTAAAAAATAGCAAATCGGAGAGAAAACCGTGGAGAAAAGACTTGTATTTTTACTAATAGATGAAACATAATAGAAAAGATACACTTGATCCTCAATTCGAGAGGAGGATCGATCTCTCCCAAATCTCTAGACGCCGCTAGAGCCCAAAGAAAACCTAAATCTAAGAGATCTCAAATTTCAGCCAAATTCAAGATGCCCAAACCCTAGGAAAAACATATATTTAATGCAAACAAATCAAAAGGAATTCCCTAAACAGTCCCTACATTCAAATTTCCCTCTTAACTCCCCAAAATTTCTTTCCTATTTGGCTCCCGCACGCCGTGTGGCTCGCTCGGCATTCCAGCGGGCGGAAATTTCTTCCGCCCTGTTCGTTCCTGAGCCGGTCCCGCCTGGACCGGCTGGACTGGTCCAGTGGACCGGTCTAACACTTTCAAGTTCTCAACGCCATCATATATTATAGGAAGTGCACTTACAAATTATTCAGTAATTAAATTGTATATGTTATGCTTGATTGTCGCAGGCGAGTTAGAAGTGTTGGAAAAAAACATTGTGGTGAAAATCACCTACTCTTGTGGCGCCATAACCCATCAATTTGTTTGAAACAACATTTAGGAAGATTTAGAGATTTTGTGTCAGCATAAAGAGTGATTATTTTGCATGATATAATTAATGTGATTGTAATTTTTTACTTTTAAAAGTGTTCATCATAATGGAAATAAGTTTGTCAAGTGAAAATAACAAATTATTTCTTAGCACTTTGGCCCAGAGCATTAGGATTGAGTAGAGGTGTTAATTTGGGTTGGCGAATCGGGTTCGAACCAAATCCAAAGTTGAGACAATCCAAATATGTATGGCCAGACGTGAGCCATTTATTATGTAGATCAAATGTGGACCTAAACATGACACGACTTGAGCATACTTAACCATAACATGACCATTTTGAGCTATTTATTATATAATCAGGCAATATTTTAAAATCAATACAATCTGTTTAACCCAAATGTGACCCATTTAACTCGAACATAATCCATTTAACCCCAACCTGATATGGTTAACCCAAACACGAATGATAATCTGGTCAATTTAGAATTTTTGGGTCAAACCTAACCCAAAAATAAAGTAGGCCAACATTTTAGACTCAAACCCAACACCCATTTATTATGTAGATCAAATGTGGACCTAAACATGACACGACTTGAGCATACTTAACCATAACATGACCATTTTGAGCTATTTATTATATAATCAGGCAATATTTTAAAATCAATACGATCTATTTAACCCAAATGTGATCCATTTAACTCGAACATAATCCATTTAACCCCAAACTAATATGGTTAACCCAAACACGAACGATAATCTGGTCAATTTAGAATTTTTGGGTAACCTAACCCAAAAATAAAGTAGGCCAACATTTTAGACTCAAACCTAACACAAATAATAATTGGGTCAACCAAAGCATAAATTTTTCAAGCCAAGTTCGGGCCAGGTTGTCAGATTGGGTCATTTATTAACACCCCTAGGACTAAACAATCACATCACCGAAAAAGCACCAAAAACTATTGATAACATTGTTGTTTTTATAGTTCATAATATTAATCCCATAACTCTTTGAATCTTAAAATGTATCTCATTTAAAAACAAGTTTTAGATTTCATGCATCTTTAAAGCTAATATACTTTTAACTCTTTTACATAAATTAATTAAATAGTTTAAAATTACATTCATTATTCACACTAGAGAAATTTCTTCCTCAAAATTCACTATTAGCTATATGTCAAAATAACATTTCAACTTCACATCTTTCTCTTTAATTAGGATTATATTATCTTAACCCTTAATAAATGTAATTTGATCAAAATCTTGTGATCTCCTTTCTTTTACCTTAATTTTCTTACATAGCTCAATTTCTTCTTGATATCACAACTACTATATAAATTATTAATTATTTTTGCTTTTCTAGCAAACTATATCTCATGAACATGAGTTTTGAAATAATTTTTACATTGGAAGTGATATAAATATTAAGTTTATAATGTGCAAGTAATAGCCCTTACTCATTAGCTTAAGCTTTTGAGTTGATGTGTGTTCATCTATAAGTGTATTGGGCTCAACTCAGGCCTTGATGTTCCTACATAAGTCAGCAGTTTGATTGGTCAAATATTTAATGGGATTTGAGGGTTTTATGGTTCTTTGTAGATTTTATCATGTTCGAGAACATTTCTAGCTCAAGTGCTCTCAAATAGGCTCCAAATAATAGAATAAACTCTCAAAAAATGAGACTTAGTAATGTTATACATTTTTCATTTGAGTGATAGCCAATCTAGAGGGGCCTCATATGGGAGGATGAAAATTGATTGACACATTGTCGTGGAAAAAGTACCGCATCATAGGTGAAATATGAATTGAGTTATGTGTGCATAGTGGTGACCCTTACCCATTAGCTAAAGCTTTGCAATGATGGATGTGTAAATCATCTAATGCATTGGACTCAACTTTTGTGCACAGTTTTCCACCCTCATAAAACCATGTTTGCCCCCAAAAACATTGATCTGTGTACCATACATTCAAAATTCTTCAATGGCTCCAAAGAAATGAAAACTTTGAGAAATAATCTATATATTGCCATTATCCCAATCCGAATTACTTGGATATTGTTTTCAGTCCCTCTTAAGTATTCATTCAATGTAAAAGCAGCACTTTAGTTTATTTGATTCTAGAAATCTTCTAAAGCAATTTTTAAACATTTCAGAATTGGGCCATCCGTTTCATTTGCAAATATTTTCTATGTCTATTAGAGCTCCATTTTGCACCATCCATTCTCCAACCAACTCAATCTATTTTCAGATACCTCATCCTAAATAGATTTTCTCACGAACTTCTCTAATTTAGTCAATACTTAATACTTCCCTTATCCCAATTTAATATGACAACAATACTAACAACCTCACCTCATCAGCCCTCTTCAGTTATTTCTTCTTATTTTAGGCAGGGCACATACAGGATCGGTTGAGGAGCTTTCTACAGCACACAAATTTCGCCTTACGAATTCATTGAATATTCACCGATACTGCCCAAATTAGATACATTAAGATGGTATGTATGTAAATCTCCCATACATTAAACTAGACGAAACCCCAATCGTTGAATTCCACAAAAAGACCACCAAATCAAGAAAACGAAGAGTTAGGGTTACACTCACATCAAGATGAGCAGCCGTAATAAGGGGGCTATCGGCGGCATCAAGGAGAGTGACAACTCGTCGAGGAGACATGCTGAAGGATCGGCACTGGATTAGGTAAAGCAGGTTACCATATGCGTCGAATACCTTGAAATCACTGCCCTTGAGACCGACTCGGTACTTCCGGAAAGTGTAATCCGTAGGAATTTCCCAAGTCGCCGGAAATATCGGTTCCGCCATCTTGCGCAAAGAAGAGCAAGAGACCAGGACAGAGAATCGACAAGGGCATCAATTGATCGATTCAGTCCGTCTCCGCGTGCAAGGAAGAAAAAGCGAACACTAGAGGGCAAGAAGTTTCCATATGGTCTCTTTGTTCCCAGCGCCGGCCTCCGAAACTACAGTCAAAAGAGGATTTTTATGACTATTTTATTAGAGGTGAGAACTGAGAAGAGTTCAGCAGGGAAAAAAAAAAGAGGAACTTGCCTGTTCCGGTTCTTGATAATTGATGAGCACAGCTCGATTGAAGCGATCTGCGTGGCTGCCCCGTCCCTTCGTCCACCCCTTCCGACAAAAATATATTTAATAAAGATCAAACGTCGATATCTCCTTCAGTTCTCCATTAAACATAGCTAAAGACGAGTTGAGAAGATAATAGTTATGGCCACATGCGGTCACTAACCCTCTTTGGAGCTAAGCTTCTCCAGACTAGTTGGATTTATTGTAAATTACAGTAGTGATTATTTAAATAAGGGATTTTTACATACATACCATTTTATAACATGTGTATTACATATTTAACATCTAAAACTTAAATATTTCATATATACCACTTAAACACAATTTTTACCTCAAAAATACCACTCCGTTAACAGCGAGTATCACTCCGTTTTATCCATGTTCCCGCCTTGATTTTTCGCGGTAGAACTCGTTTCAGCAAATCCCTCCGTATTCTCTTCCTCTGTATTTGCTCTTCCACCGTAGTTGTTCCTCCATGCGATTTCTTCCATCCATATTTACCAGGTGAATTTTCTCTGGGTTTTTATTCCCGCCTCTGTACATTGTCTGCTTTACCGGACATGCTTTTTTATTCACGGGTTTTTGAGGCTTTTACCGAAACTTTTCATTTTTCTACAATATTGATGCCTGCAATAGATGGATGAAACATTTTCCTATGTTTATGACTTTATGAAACTTTTGTCAGCTATAATATCTGGAGATTAAAAAATGAAACATTTTTTGTTATTCTTTTATATTTAGATTTTTGGCACTAATTAACGATGTGATGTGGTGTTTATTTCAGCTTGAAGTTAATGAAAAATGACAACCTCATGGCATAATTCGATAATGCAGGATTGTGACGAAGTAATAGATGATTTATGTGGAGATAAAAAAGAGCATTTGTTTATTGCATTTAAATTTGGAGGAATTTGGGTTGACACAAAGGATCAATCTAGAAAGAGATATATTGGCGGCAAACAAAGAACTGTGAAACTTGAGAAAGGACATATAAATATTTTCAAGATTATAACAGAGATTGCTAGAATATGTCCTTGGTTGAATGGATATCAATACAACATGCATTATCACATTAATGGAACATCACCCAAGGAGTACAAAATAATCAATTACGATGATGACGTGAGCCTGTTGATAAACTCACACATTAATGAAAATTCACGTGCCAAAATAGTTATCTCATTGTACGAAGTTGATGAAGATCAATCAAACTCACAGATTATGGGGATTGAGAATTTTGAGCAAATAATAGATGGGTCTATTTCTCAGAACGATGGTGCTTCGAGATTTAAAAAATCTAGTGTTACAGATATCACTGTAGGTACATTTATTAATGATGCTACAAATTTCAAAAATGCACTCCGATCATTTGCCATTAGAGAGAACTTTGGGTGAGGATAAGAGCCAGTGATAAGAAATGAGTTATTGCAACTTGTTCCTTTCAAGGTTGTCAATGGCGAATTTGGGCATCCCTATGTGAAGACACTCAATCTTTTCAAGTTAGGAGAGTTGATGGAGAACACATATGCCCTGGGATTAATCGTGCTGGAAATCGGCTAGCTACATCTACATGGGTTTCTAATCAGATTCAGGAGATGGTGAAGAGGTATCTAGATATTCCACCAAAAGAAATAAATAGCGGTTTAGAGAAGGAATTTGGTTTATCACTATCTTATATGAAGCTTTGGAGGGCAAGAGAGTAAGCTAGCGACACAATTTTTGGCTCAGTTGATGACAACTACAAATGGGTTCCAACAATGACAGCAGAATTACTTGATAGAAATATGGGCTCACACATAACATATACATTTAATGGTATTGATAATTCTTTCCAAAGGTTTTATGTTAGTTTCAAGGTGTGTGTGGATGGATTTTTATATGGGTGCAGACCACTTATAAGTTTAGATGCATGCCATCTTAAATCTAAGTATTTGGGTGTCTTTTTATCCGCCAACTCGGTAGATGGAAATAATGGCTTATTCACCATAGCATTTGCTGTTATCGAGGCTGAGTCCAAACATTCATGGTCATGGTTCTTGAAGAACATGGTAGAGAGTATTGGTTCTAATTTAAGCACTCTTAGTTTCATATCTAACATGGAGAAGGGTTTGGGAGAGGCAATCAGAGAAATATATCCTGAAGCTGAGCATAGAATTTGCATTCGACATTTGTGGAAGAATATCAAAAAAAATTTCGATGTAAATATGGGCAAAAAATGCAAGGACTTGTCTGGGCAGCTGCAAATGCCTATACTAATGTAGAGATGAACGAGAAGCTTTCTGAACTTCATGACTGGAGCAAGACAATAGATTACATAGATGTGGAAGATGTGGTCTATGGGGACATCATCGAAGTACTTGCAAGAATCATTTGCAAAATATGAATAACGAGGAGACGATGGCCACAGAAGTAGGACAAAAACGACGGGACTAGTTGCCAAGTAGACGGGTAGCGAATGACGTTGAGCAGCAGGAGTTTAATTATTCATATTCAGATGGCTTCTAAAATGAAGATCATGTTTTGTTACTTTTATTTTTGTTGTTTTTTGGTGAGCCAAAAACTTGTGTTGTAGTTATGTTTTGCAAAGATTGCTCCTGATTTTGTTATGTTTCCTAGCTATTTCTAATCTTTTGGCTCACCCAGTTCAATTAATGCAACCCCTTTATGCCGGTGATCTCAATTTCTGAAATGAAAAAAAATTGCAGATATGCAGTAAAATGTATAGGCTTCATCTCATGTTCAATCCAAGCTGCAGATATGCAGTAAAATGTCGGCTGTGCTAAATGGATCTGAGAACATTTGCAGATATGCAGTAAAATGTCTATACTTATTTGTTTGAAAATCTCTGATATTTTCCTTCAAACCACATTCTATTACTTTTCTGCAGTGGATTTCTATATTTGTATTATCTAGGCTTGGAAATGTATTAATTTATTACACTTGACTTAGTGATCTCAATTTCTAAAATTCTTTGACTCATCCCAAAAAAATTCTTAAATGAAAAAAAAAACTGTTTGTCTGATTTCATTGAACATAATTTAGAATTTTTTTTCATTAATTTGGATAAGCAAACAACATACACTTGATCAACACAAGCAACTGACATAGACGACTAAACAAAACAAAACAAAAAACCCGTGTTGATTCTACTTAGCATTCAACCAATCCCAACAAAACACATTACAAACCCAAACGGATGGCTACATCAACAAGAATAATTGCAATGAAGACTTTCATCAAATATCTGATCCAGTCAAACCTCTTAATAACCTGTGCCTCAAAGACTTTGCGCTCATCATATGTTCCATAATATGCATCTTCTACTTCATCGATCCATCTAAAGTATCTGCAGTCGTCATCAGTTCGATTATTCATGCACCTATAAAATTGTCTTCCACTATTAGGACCACGGTGGCATGTATACAAGACACAATTCAGCTGACAATAACAATAAATTTCAGCTCGTGTGCGCCTCGTGCCAGACGAATTCGTAGAACTCATTTCAAATGTTATAACAATTTGTCAACAAAGACAAAAAAATTTAGGAATAACTTGACAAATGAATTTTTAAGAACACTGCTTACTCCATTCAAAAGCATTACCATACAAATTCTTTTAGAGATTACAGCCATTATGTAGCAATAGACTTAGAAATTTACAAAAAGTGAAGTGTGGTCACTCCAAACTCAAACACAAGCAGCTTCGCAGCAACTCATTCACCAAAAGCGAAGTTTTTTCTCATCAAACGTGACATTCAGAGATCGGAAAGGCGCCTCCTTCAGGGTTTAGGAAAATCTTTGAAGCAAAACCGATCTCTGAACTAAACCTCTACGGATGCAAGAGTGAAGTGTGGGAAATTCTGCGTAGAAGATAACCTGAGGAAGATGCCCAGAGGGAGCATAGAGAGAGCGGAGCTGGGGAGAATGCCGCTCGTGACAGCTAGCGGGGAGGAAGAGAAGAGGTTTCGGCGGGGGCGCTAGGGCTTTCCTAACGAAAATGGACGAAGACTAACGGAGTGGTATTTTTGTTATGAGAATAGTATTTAGATGGTATTGATGTAATATTTAAGAATTAGGTGTTAAATATGTAATACATATGTTATAAAGTGGTATGTATGTAAAAATCCCTTTAAATAAATATGATACTTTCGTCTTCAGTTATTTATTATAAATATATAGATTTTACATTATTGTTTGTGGTAGAATAATTTTGGAAGTAGAATGAGTAGTAGAAAATTGAATATATTGAGTTTTTACAATTATTTTTATATGAATGTTTTGTTACAATATTTTCTTAGTTTTTTCGGTTCTTTTAGCATGCTTATTTTTTACAGTGTTTTTTTTTATTTAGTTTCAGCATTATCTTATAATTAGTTTTTTTGTATCTCTTCTTATATGCATATTTCTTTTTAGAACTTTTTTTTTTTTTTTAAATGACTTCTGATGATGAGTCCCTCGCTGGTCAATCAAGAATATCTTTGGTAGATGGAAGAAGGTTACTGGCTCATCCAGTAGGGCTAGAGAAACTGAGGAGATATCTTCTTCATAGCATGCCACCTAGACCCAGCCGATTACGACCTTGCCTACTTCTCCAGTAGGCAGTCCTCAGTTCATTTCTTAAATCTCAATTTTCCTTCACCAGACCCTACGCAAGTACTCCTTTCTACTCTTACTATCCCCCAACATCATCTCTGGGAGTCCTATCCACTTACTCATATCTGTCATACACCAATCGTTCTACTTCCTACTTAACCATTTCTATGATGACCTTCCAAATTTGTGAAACAGTGACTTGAGACTATAGCAACACCAATGATAGATGTTCGCATGCTCATAAAGTTTGAGGGAAACACGTAAATAATGCATGCTTTGGTTTATTT